GCATGCACAGTGTCAGGCGGTTGCCACGGTATCCAGGGGTTCTTAACATCCATTTGTTTTTAGTGGTCCCCTTCCCACACGTGAAACGATTCTGGCTCAGGTGGCCAGCTAGAGTCACCCAGTACAAGGCCACAAGCTGGTATTGAACATTTAGTCGGTTCAGAATCCTCCCAGACAAAACACAAGGCACAAGAAACTCCTATGGAAACATCTGGGTGTTTTGTTTTGTTTTGAGACAGGGTCTCGCTATGTAGTTGAGACTGACCTAGAACTCACCGTGTAGCCCAGGCTGGTCTCGAACTCAATGATCCTCCTGCCTCGGCCTCCCAATTGCTGGGATTACAGGTATGCACCACCATGCCCAGCTGTGAAATTTTAATTTTGGGTTAAGCATCTGAAATCCAAACCTTCTGGATGACCAACATGACATTTAAAAGATGTCAAATTTTGAAGCACTGTAGATTTTGTCTTTTCTGAAGGATGCTTGACTGATAAAGGTCTGTGCAAAGGTCTGAACACTTGAACTCTGAAACACCATGGTCCCGAGCACATTGGAGAAGGGAATCTCAGCCTGTGGCTCCCTCAGGGGGACCAGTGTCACGAGAAGGTGACGTCGAAGCTCTGTGGAGAGGGACTTGGCGCCATCTGGGCTACAGCGACCTCGACTTGGTGGGATGCGGTGCTGTTAGAAATACTTGGTCAAAACTATAATTTCCAAAGATGAATCTGGCAAAGTGTGCATGAAAAACAGATAGAAAAGAGTTAGGGAGTGAATGCCACAGTCCACAGAGTTGGGGGACCTTGGACAGAGCAGAGAAAGTGAGAACAGCGCTTAAGGAGAACCGGATTCCTACCGTGGGGCGCAGGAAGGAACTCTGTGGCTGGGAGAGCTGCCCGGCACCCAGTGAAGGGGGACAGCTCCCCGGAATGTTCCACGAAGGAAGGACTTCGGAGCCTAAGGGAGTAGTCACCCTACGTTTCATTTTTCTCTGCACAGACACACTTGTATTCTTTTTGTTTTGCTGAGAACAGGAGAAGGAAAACGATAAATTAATTGAAAATGTCCCCTAAAAAAACAAAACACTGAACGACTTGGTGCATGAAATGAGGTTGCCTGGAGTGGTCGGGGTCACCATTAAAGTCAGCAGGCTGCCCAGGCTGAACACAGGCAGCATTCAGTCTGACCGCCACACACAGCAGGAACAGTACCAGTGAGATGAGTTTCCTGGAGTCCAGTTGGTGGGCAGAAAGGGAAAGAAGAGACGAAATCCCCCACAGCCGGTAACTAGCGCCTCACATGAGTGACGCATCAGGTGGTGAGCTGGTGCTGAGCCCCCCACAGGGATAATGGACCCCACAACAACCCAGACTAGGCAGTGTTGTACCCATTTCACAGGTGAGGAAGGCTGCACACATTTTATAACCAGATATGGATCCCTGACCGCGCTAAGACCACCCCACTAGCATGCCTGGGGCCTGGTCCAGGCATGGCTTTCTCTAAACCTTTCTTTTATGATACTAGATAGGGAATGTAGGGCCTTCTCACGGAGCTGCATCCCCAGCCCTTTTATTATTTTTTATTTAGAGACAATCTCGCTAAGTTCCCAAGATGCTGGGCTTGAGCTCATGATTGTCCTGCTTCAGACCCCAGAGGGCTGGGATCACAGGCACAGGCCGCCACACCCGGCAGGGTGGGTGTTTGTAAAATGTCTGATCTCGGGGTCCCACAGATGAGACTGTTCTGTATTTAGCATGTGGTTTGGTTTCCTTTTCTGGTTTTGTTTGTTTTTGTTTTTTGAGACAAGGTCTCCCTGTACTTGAACTCACTGTGTAGTTTAGGCTGACCTCAAACTCACAGTGATCTTCTTGCCTCAGCCTCCTGAGTGCTAGGATTATAGTCACACCCAGTTTGCATTCTTAAATCAGGAACCCTATGGAGAGGTGCATCAGTTTTTGCCCTAAAGAAATTCCATTGAAGCTGTGCATGCCTGTAATCCCAGCAGTAGGGAGGCTGAGGCAGGAGGATAGCTGTGAGTTTGGGAACTGCCTAAACTACACAGTGAGTTCAAGTACAGGGATACTTTGTCTCAAAAAACAAACCAACAGCAACAAACAAAAAAAAAAAAAAGAAAGAAAGAAAGAAAAGCAAACCACACATGCTAAATACAGAGCAGTCTCATCTGCTACATAGTGATTTCCAGGTCAGTCTCAACTACATAGTGAGACCCTGTCTCAAAAAAAAAATCCATTGAAAGCAGAACTATCCAAGAAAACAGTAGGCTGAGGCAGGAGGATCACCATGGATTCGTGGTCAGCCTGTGCTGTACAGTGAACTCAAGGCCAGCCTGACCTACATAACATTCCCTGCCTCAAAAATAAAGAAAATGACTGTTTAAGGTACAGGAAGTGCCATGTTGGGATGCAGAGAAAGACCGGAGCTTGAGTGGTGTGTACGGAGAGCAGAGAGTACTGCACGTTAACCCACCCACCGAGCCACAGGGTCACCCTGAGTTATAGAAGGGGGAAGTACCTCGTGCTAGGTCACTCTGGTTTTGCATCGGGGCTGTATCGAGTGACCCCGGCCCAGTGGCCAGAGTAGGCGGAAGGGGAGAAGGCAGAGCAGGGTGAGTGTGAGAAGAACGAAAGAAAAAGAAGCGGCGTGAGGACCTTGGCGGGACTCTGCCTCACACGCCCTTGGTTGGGAGCCCACAGTGTGTAAACACTCTCTGGAAGGTCAAGTTTGAGTAAACTAGAGAGAGTGGGAATAGTTTGGGAGTCCGCTCGGACGTGGACGACGTGGATGGGGCTGCTGAGTGGGACGCGGCTGTGCGGTAAGACGCAGCGCCCTTTCCCTGGGAATGAGCAGACCAGGCTGGGTGCAGTGCGGTGTTCTGACCCACAGGAAGCTGGCAGCCTGGTCAGTGGCTCTCACTTCCCTAGCTACTGTGGACAAGCATGTCCATGTTGCTTTGGGACCCATAGAAGCTGACACCCCCGACCCAACTTATGGCCATTTGGGAGGAGCCAGATAAGAACTTTATGGAAAGCTGCCCAGAGTCCCCACCCTTTGGCCTGTGAGCTTACAGGACAAGGCATCTCAAGCTAACCCAACTCACCAAGTATTTTAAAACTCCTACTTTAAAACTCAGTTGTAGCAAGATCCACATATATACTCATGTACACAGAAGGCTGAAGCAGGAGGAACACCTGAGCCAGGAATTCAAGACCAGCCCAGGCAATGTAGCAAGACCTGGCCTCTTAAAAAAATATTTTTTAATGTAAAGAATGTTTAAAAGTGTATTGCATACATAACAAAAGATTATTTGAATATATTAAAAAGTATAGCTGGGCATGATGTTGCACATCCATAATCCCAGCACTTGGGAGGCCGAGGCAGAAGGATTGCTTTGAGTTTAAGGCCAGCCTGGGTTACATAGTGAGACCCTGTCTCAAAAAACCTAAAGCAAATAAATAAAAATAAGAAGTGGTTAGGACAATTGGTGCCTGATGCATAGTAAAAACTGTTAATACGGGGCATTTTAATGATTCTTAAATGTCAGATGTAGCAAGGCACCTACACAAAGACTGCTTTAAATTACGTCAGTGGTCTCTACTTTGGGGGTCAGTGTGATAACCAGAGAAAATAACACTTCTATGAATCAGGAGACCCAGGGCTTGGTCACAGAGTTTTTCCCAGGGACTCAGACTAAGAATCTTGGGGATACAGAAACAGACCAACCAGACGTGGTGGCTCGCGCCTGTAATCCTAGCACTCAGGAGGCTGAGGCAGGAGGATCGCTGTGAGTTCGAGACCTGGACTCAGCAAGCCCCCTTCTCAAGAAACAAAAAGAAACAGACCAGAGATGATGCCCAAATCCTGAACTTGCATCACTAAATATTGCACCTGCAAACAGAAACTGGCTGCAGGGGAAGAGGCTCTAAGTTTAGGCAGAATTGTAAAGGAATTGAGAGAGGTAAGATTTTTTTTTAGAGAGGAGTGTGGGGCTGGGGATATAGCTGAGTGGTAAAGCACTTGCCTAGCATGCCCTGGGTTCAGTAACCAGCCACTGCAGAGATAAAAAGTTGCGTGTGATTCCAGTAAGGGAAGAGCCGGGCACGATGCATGCCTGTAATCCCAGCTGAGGCACATTTGTGAATTCAAGGCCAGCCTGGGCCTCATAGTGAAACTCTGGCTCAGAACGTCGGAGAGAGAAAAAATTGTTTTTGTGGGATTTTTGAAAAAAAAAAAATAATAACAGATGTTTTGAGGTACAGTTGACACACTAAGAAATACAGCTATTTCAGTGACTGACTTAATTTTTTCTACTACATTGATAGACTTGTACAACTGTCAGCAGACAGCTGGTCTCTGTCTCACCCGATATCCGAGTTCTTTGTATCCCAAATGCAGAATTGAGCAGGACACACAGAAGTCGTGAGGGAGGCAGAGGTTTATTGCAGGGAAAACTCCACGGAGTGGGGAGTAGGTAGGGTTGCCTGAGCGCCCCGTCTGCTTTAGGGGGTTCCATGCGCAGCACCCAGAGCTGAGAGGTGGTGCCGTCGTGAGGCCAGTGCGCTCAGTGGAGATGCGGAGCCAGGTGCCTCCGCTGCCTGAGCTTCCGGGCTGGCTCGTTCTGGACTGTGGGCGCGGCGGGGGTGGTAACGGACCCCGCCTTTCTTCGAGTCTGCTGGGAGTCCTCGATTTTATACGCATGGGGGTGGGAACTACTGCTAATGACGCTGGAATACCCGTGGGCTCCCTGTGACCCTGAGCAGGGCCAGCGCTGCGGGCCAGGGCGCCCATGTCTGCAGAATCACGGGAGCAGAAGGCCTCCTGGGCCAGGTCTCCTGCCTCGCAGCCATGGTCACAGTCCGGTTTTAGAAGGTCCTCGCCTTAAAGACAACCCTTGTACCTATTTTATTCATTCATTTATTTCTACCACCAGCCTGTGCTAAGGGTTTTCTGAAAATAATGATTAAAAGTAATTTCCCTTTTGCAGGATGGCATAGTAAACCCAACAGTAAGAAAAGACTTGAAGACTGTACCAAAGTTCTACTGTTGTCCGATTGAAGGATGCCCCAGAGGCCCCGACAGACCGTTTTCACAGTTTTCCCTCGTAAAACAGGTATTTTGCTTTCCGTAATAAGCTCCTCCGGGACGAAATAGGAAGACATGGGTCGGGCCGGCGGCTCTGTACTTGGCGCCACGCCCCGGGGGAGGGCGGCGCGGTGTGTGCCCCTCAGCGTCCCGCCCTGTGCCCCCAGCACTTCATGAAGATGCACGCCGAGAAGAAGCACAAGTGCGGCAAGTGCGGCAACTCGTACGGCACCGAGTGGGACCTGAAGCGGCACGCGGAGGACTGCGGCAAGACCTTCCGGTGCACATGCGGCTGCCCCTACGCCAGCAGGACGGCGCTGCAGTCGCACATCTACCGCACCGGCCACGAGATCCCGGCGGAGCACAGGTGAGGGCGGCTGCGCGGGCCGGGGTGGAGGTGGAGGCGGCGTCCAGAAGCCGCTCCCAGAAGGCAGCAGTCGTGTCTGGGCCTAGACTCCTCCACCCAGTTGTTCG